ATCACAATCTGATCGTTTTCTAACTGATATTAGCTGATAATGAATGATATATAAACTTTACGACAAAACGTTTTTTTTCCATTGAGATATTCAGCAACCTAGTTGGATAATACTGAATTATACTTCTTGACTGTTACCTTGAACCAATATGAGACACGGAGTCAGTTATATTATTTCATACAATCACTCCCTTGGATTAGGTTTTGAACAAAGTGACAACAAAGATATTTGAAGGAAAAAAAGAATTGGTGTTTGTTTTTAGCTCCACATATTTTCATCAGCTGCTAACAGACTTGAAAGCGATATAACTTTTTATCAAATGTTCAAAAATTATTTAAAATACTTCAGAAATTATTTCAACTCAAAGGGTATAATAGTGGAACAACATTTAGGAATATAAGATGCCTAATACTCTAACAAAGAGTTTATTCATGCACAGTGTGATGGGATGTTCAAGAGAAGAGGTTGGAAGTGAAAAGAAACAAGAAAAAATTAAGTAAATTTGTAAGATTAATAATGATTTAAGCTCAGTGAGTTATAATTTAAAAAAAAAACAACTGTGAGGCAATAAAAACACAGTAACAAAGCAAGGACATCCAGTTACCAGGGTAGAGCAGGATCTCCCTCTATACATAAGTTAGGTTGAGATCCTTTGATAGCAATGGATTCTGCAAAGAGGATTAGTCAGGATTTTCTCTATATATTAACGATACTGATGGCTTGACTGATTTCGACTAATGCCTCATGTCAATTAGATGCTTTGCAATTGCACTTACAAACACTTTCTCATTTTTCATATGAAGATTGTGTGGAATATGCTGAGAAAAGGTAGTCAATGCTCTCCTCTCACTTTTTTTTTATGTACTGGCTACCACAAGCATTGATAAATACAGTTGGAGTTGACATGATTAGGATATTTATTTATAATTTGGACTGTTTTAGTAATAACTGTGTGGTATAAAAAGGAATCAGCTTAGCGGTGGGAAATGTCCTTTTCGCTTTATTAAACTTCCAATTTAATTTATTATTATTTTTTCTATTTATTTTCGATTACAGCTTGATGCCACATCGTATTTTCAGTACAAGTATGGAATTTTCAGCATGGATATTGGTAGCCCAAATTTTGCAGGCCAACCATAGATATCAGGTGTGCGCCGGAAGGGGATCGAACCCCGGACTAGGTGCATTGTTGGCGAGAGTCCTAACCACTGTGCCACCGACGGTTTGTCAGTACAACAGTTTAACTTCTATAGTTTGGTTTGTAAGGGTTAGTTATGTTTTTACGAGTTGATCACGGATTGATATCACTTAGAGAACTATTTAAAACCAGGGAGTACTGGACAGCTGTTTTATCCTAGTTTGCGAGTCATCGGCAGTACACATCCACTGGGGGTCAAACCCACGACCTTCCGGTTACAAGGCAAGCTGGCTCGTATACCAATCAGCCGCTGGGACCCGCCCGATTCAATGGCCAGCCGATGAATTCTAACTTCTACCAATTCGTGATGCATTTAGCGCAACTGGCACCGACCAATGTCATTGGTGAGAAATCCATCCTCACACTTGACTAGATGAACATCACTGGTCACGACTTCTCACTAGAACTCCAGGAAACTCCATCCTATAGCAAGTCACTAGCGAGCATCAGATTAATTTTCTATAGTTTGGTTTGTAAGGGTTAGTTTTGTTTTTATGAGTTTAACTTCTACTTACCATTTCTTTTCACTCTCACTGTGTCCTCTCGAACATTCCATTTTGTGTTCATTTCTCTTGTTCCACACGTATACCTTTCGAACTGCTATAATTTTTGAAGTATGTTATAAATATTTGCATTCATAATAACTTATGTCGATTGTAGGCTGTTATCAGCTGGGAATTAAATAGTGTGAGCCACTTTCATCCTGCAAATATCTTCTTCCACACTTTATTAAAACAAATCGTATTATTGGTCCTCATAATTGTATCAAGACTATCTAGTGATATAAGTAAGTATCTTCTGTCTTTCACTTTCATGACTTCATACCTCCGAGTTAGAAAATCCATCACAAAGATAGTCATCAAGTAGCAGTGAAGTGAGGTTAGGCATATATTATATGTGTCAAAAATCATTAGTTTTCTTTAACAGATAGAAGTAATTGCATCTCACGAACAAGTAAGTATAGTAAATTCTATGTTACTTGACTCAGACCCAGTGTCTAAACGACGTCATCAATTCATAACCCCAAAACAATCTTCAGCTCTATCCTTTACAGGGCTGATAGTAGAGATGTGACCCACTCACTGGCATAAGCACTAGACTATTAGACAATAGGCCCTAGGTTCGAATCCCACTTCATCTACTTCAGCCTCATCAGCTGTACAGTATCATTAACAGACAAACAGTAATTATGTGGCTTACACTCCGGTACTGGGTTTTAGAACAGGACTGCTTAGCAGTGACACCTGAAAAGTTCTACACTGAGAAGAAATATCTGCTAAGTGATATCTTTCTTTCAGTGGTTTTATGAAAAAGTCAACTTTGAAAGTTTCTCGACTACCAAAAAGTGCATTACCCTGAGTGGTTAAGTAAAGGACAAATAAAATTCATTCCTGACGCTATTCTATCTCATCTTGTAGATACAGAACACTAGATTGATGCTAACGACGCTTTCAAAGTCATTTACCACATACCGACTAATCTTAACTTTACCTTAAGATTTCGTCTACTACATATTGCTGAGGCCGTTGGGATCCACATTAAGAAACCCAACTTATGTATTCAAAAGAAGCTGGTTCAGACACTGTCCTTACCTTGGACATCAAGGTTCTGATGATCCTCAATTTGTTGTGGAAATTTCCTTAATTTTATTTAGTATTCTATTTTTTATTATATTTATGCACCTTTAGTGAACTGTAATTCCAATGATCTTACTTAAGAAATCGATATCATTTAAAAACACCAATATTGTTATTGATGACTATTCTAGAATATTCTATGTATAATTTTCAGGTATTGGTTTTGTAGGGATTTTGTTTGATTGGATGGAGGATTTCATCATCAGCTGACATCAGTTAGGGAACCACTGGAAAACCTGCAGGGAGTACTGGACAGCTGTTCCGTCCTAGTATGGGACTCTTCACAGTACGCACCCACTGAGGCTCGAACCCAGGAGCTTCTGAGTACAAGGTGAGCTCGTAGACCATTGAGTTACTGGGGCCCGATCCAATGGTCCTTGAATTCTAACTTCTGCCAATTCACGACATAGCGCGACCATTTCGCAATGTCTTCTTTGATGAGTTACTGCCTCACTTTCAACCTGGTGCACCCTAGTGGTCACGGCTTTTCACTTGAACCCCGGATAAATGCCTTGCCTTATAACCAGAAGGTCCTGGGTCCGAATCCCAGTGGGTGCGTACTGATGAAGAGTCCCAAACTAGGACGAAACAGCTGTCCAGTACTCCCAGGTTTTCCAGTGGTTCTCTAACTGATGTCAGCTCATGATGAAATCCTCCATATATATAATTGTAGAGCCAGAAGAGGAAATTATCGAAAAGAATATTCTTTGCTCAATTTTTTCGTTTTTTCTAGATGTCTGGATGAATATTTTCGCTATATTAATATTATCACATGATAGTTGTTAGTAGGAATTTGATTGGCTTCAAGTTGGATAACAAACTAATATCCACCAGAGAACTTTTGAAAACTATGCCATTATAGACAATTATTTCTTCCTTCTTTTGAGAATCTTCAACAGCTGTTTTGCGTTCCTTTGTGTTTCGAGTGGAACATAAGGCTTCAAGTCGTTGGAACTACTCATTTCAATCTTGCTGAGACTTTACAAATATAATTTTTTACAAATGTCTACTTCTCACTCGGTGCCCAAATATTTTAGAACTATTCTGTCAAATCTTGACGACAGTTCATTTGAATTATTTTGTAATCGAATTAAATTAACAAAGAAACTGTGTAATTGGCACAATCATCGTGTTTTCACTCCCCGTTGTCTGCAAAAAAAGGCATATCCTAAATCCGTAGCTGTCGAGTCACCTGACAACTCCAGTAGGTCGAATAAAGCAGCTCAATCTTCAGAAAGAAGATAAAGCAATAAGTCCGACAGGGTGCTTCCACTAAACTCTAATCCTAAACACCATAATTTTGAAAATACGTCTAATCATAAAATTCTAGATCCTAACAGTTTGAACAGACATGAAGGTGTGATGTTAGCTGATGCATAGGAAATCCTTAATAATAAATAAAAAAATGGATATGTATCACTAATTATTAATACTTGGTCAAAATTCTCGACTGTTCTTATCTTCTTCTGGAGACGTTGAGAAATGTTTTACAGCTGTTCACACACATATACACACTCTGTTTAATGTGTTTAACTGAGGTAGACCAATATTTGTAAGTCCGAGATCAAATTTTGATCACAGCTCATAAAATTTTGTTTATTATACTTGTTGAATGACTCATGATTGGACACATTTTTTAAAAACAAGTGAAGTTTCTTTTTTATATAAACCTATGTTATGTTAATTTCGATTAATTTCCCTGAAGAAGTTCGGACCAGATTTCCGAACGAAACGTTGGAATTACTCATTTCAGTCTCGCTGAGACTTTACAAATATAATTTTTTTTACAAATGTCTAAGGCTTCAAGCTTTGAAGTCGAAGTAGCAATGGCGTATTTTTTTAAGGCGTTGGGTTTCTAGCCTCGTGCCTAAGCCTCTTTCTGTGGCCTACTACCGGCCTCCTATCTAAGCTTAGCAGTGCGTCACTTGAAAATCCTACCACGATCATGTTAGTGTATGGAGTGAATTCTACCAATGAACCACCAACGCAGTACGCAGTTAATATTGCTAAGGATTTTAAAACTTTTTAAAAGAAGTTTCTTCTATCTTATCAGGTAGGGGAGTAGGCGCAAAACTGTAAAGAACAAAGTCGGATTCCTGTTAGAAAAGAAGACGTTTAAAAATAGTTATGTAATTTGTTTCAGTATTATTTCCTCAGAACAAAATTCCTTGTGAAGATATACAGATAAATATATATACATAAGCATTTTACTGGGTCAACCAACATAATCTTATAAGGAAAGACTTACTATAGAGGATACACTGAAGCTCAACGGATAAATTATGCGACTAATATGTGTAAACAGCTGCCAACACAGAGCCATACATCTTCAATTGTTCAGGGAATAAAACATGAATATGCTTGAAAAAATAGTGAAATTAACCAGAAACAACGAAAGAGCGAGAGAGAAAGGAAGTAAATATTTTAATTATGATCAAATTATAGTAAATATGCACACATGCATCATTGTTCATCCGTTGATTACGTAATCCATTAATAGAGAAACCTTCATCTTCATACTCGACGTCTCAAATAATTCAACTCTTATGAATAAGATGTTGGACACTGAGATAAATGAGACGGTGTAGAGATGAAGTCAACTGTAAACTTTGCATTCCCTGCATCAATATTATGTTCACTGGCGTCTTCTATTGTCGATAGATTCTTTTTGTAATCATTATTCGACAGTAACAACGAATCTGTCTGATGCAGTTGTGAATTCAAGCATATAATTAACTTGTACAATTCATCAATCGCATTAGCTTGCATCAGTATATAATTTTTAGCTAATAACAATGTAGCAATTTTTGATAATTTTCTCACCGATGGACTATGCGCATATGGAATAACACTGCGCAGGTCATCCAGTGCATCGTTTAAATCGTGCATTCGACGTCGTTCACGTGCATTAATACTTAGACGAGCATTTCTTTGCTGATGATAATGATGTTTAGCAAGAGTTTTTGTATGCGAAGCAGTATATTGGAAGTTATGATGTTGACTGATACGTGTTAGGGATTGAGCCACGGATTCTGCGATAGATGTTGTCGGCGGTAAAGATGACGGTGGCAGTGTTGTTGTTCTTCGTAGTCTCCACAAGCTGTCAGTTTTCTTTTGATGACTTTCTGATATTATTAATGATTCAGAGGTGATCATTGGGAATAAAACATTATTATCATTGTCATTATTGTTGATTTGAGTTTGTTGATTGGGATCATTAGTAGTGATAGTTGAAAAAGAACAACTTTCATCACTATCGTATAGTTCATCCATTAAGAAAAATAAAATAAATAAAATGAAACTGATGAATTGACTGGGTTAACGGACAAAATGTCTTCGGTAATTCTGATTGGTTTATAGAACTAACCAATTAGAATGAAGTTACTGGAAAAGTTATAACAACCAATCATGTTACATGAAATTAGGCAGTGATATTTCTACTTTGCACATAGAATGGATTATGATGAAAGCATTTATCGTATTTGATGCGTGACATGAATTATGCAACGAAAAATAAGATGCAACTGTTCTATGATAATCCAGGTACAACCGTAAAATTCATATAGTAAAATGCACTTCTGTGAGACAGTTACTAGGGCATATCAAGATTGGCAAGGAAGTTATTGAAATAAAAATAAGATAGAAAAATCCTCATTTAGACATTTATATATAAATACATATATACGTCCAAACCAAGTTCACTTTTAACAGTTTGAAAAAATTGTGGGCATTGGGTACATGATATTCATTATAGTAAAGTCTTTGGTATTTCCCAATGAATAAAAAACAAAAACGATATTGTTTTTACTGACGTTTCGCTATTTAATGCTGCTGCTAATAGCTTTATCAAAGTATTAATTAACCGGAATTTACAAATCTCAGCATATATATAACAAACAGTTAGGGGGTGAGAAAATAGACTTAGGTCAAGTTAAAGGGACAAATTGAAAGTCCAAATAAAAATGAATATCACTGAACCAAATAACAAAGGTAATAGTACATCTGTTATGGTATCAAAACAAAGTTTACTAACTTGACCATCGTTCGTTAGTCTGGGGTCATTTTTCGTTGTCAAGTTAGTCATTTGGTAAAGATAATAAAATCAAGTGTAGATTGTTGGATTTGACCAGTGTTTAGAATTATAAAGGCAGTGTGTGTTTACATAGTGAACTTGCATACCACATTGTGTTGATTTTGTCACTTCATGGGGGAGGGAGGTGTTGTAAGCAGGTCAGATTCTGTTTTAGTCCATCATTCCTATTCAGGCAATTTGGATTCCACTTGATATGAAATGCTTCTTATATTAGACGTTCTTTATGATTTCTGAAGTTTTTCTGGATTATTTCAATATTGTCAAAATCAGTTTTGTGACCTGATTCTATAGCATGGTTGATGATTTTTCAAGTTTTTCCAGTTCAGTTGGATTCCTCAGTGATCGGACAGATGGTCTACGTGTTCATTACTTCTCATTTGATTTCTCGAGATGTTTAATAATACTTTGATAAAGCTATTGGCATTAAATAGCGAAACGTCAGTAAAAACAATATCGTTTTGTTTTCATTCATTGGGAAATACAAAAACCTTTATATATATATATATGTAGCATTTCTAATGAAATACAAAAAATTAACAGTCTAGTGGTGATATATTTGATTACGGGTTAATAAAAGTTAGTGAGCCATTGAAAACCAGGGAGTATTGGTCATAGTTCGGGACTCCTCATCAGTATGCTCCCTCCGGAGCTCAAATCCAGGAACTTCCGATTACAAGGCAAGCTCGTAGACAATTTAGCCACTAGGACTCAACCCAATGGAATATGAATTCCAAAAAGTAGTGATAAATTTCTTAACAACAGTTAGTCATTATCATCGTGTCAAGGGGGTGATAATGAACCCTGGTGCTTGAATTAAACAAGTATTATTATTCCCTTGGGTTCCAAGTGAAACACTGGGCTTCAACGAGACATCTCCACTTTCTTCTATCTAGGCAGTCCTCTTCAGATTGGCCCACGATTGCCCATAATCTCTCGTCTCCTCCTCCCCCGACGATCTCCTCCATGTCACCCTCGCACCGACCACCCACTCGTCGTTTCCCATTGAGGTTCCAACTGAGTGATGGCCTGGCGCGCGACGTCATTCGACGGCCTCTTCAAACTATGTCCAATCCGTCTCCATTTTCTTCTGCATATTTGTTGAGCAATCGGCTCTTGGTTGGTTTGTTCCCAGCCAGAGTTTCTTCTTGCTAATTCTTTCTAGATATTTGATCTTCAGCAAGGAGCGAAGGTTGCAGGTGTTCATAAAAGTCTGCAGCTGGCTGTTGGAAATTCTTTTCGTGACATTTGGTGCAAGTTTCTGACCCGTATAGAAGAACTAACTGACTTGAAATTAGTGTTGAAAATCCGAATCTTGTTCTTTATGCTGAGGCGGAGTTCAGAATATTTCCAAACTGATTTCAGGTCGATGAAGGCGTATGTTTCTTTTCCGATTATGGCCAGCTTTGACATCTTCATCCGTTCCACAAGTATTAAACAAGTGGATTCCATAATTCGGGGAAGTATTTAAGAAATCAATTAATGCTCAAACTGATGAGGTAATAGTCAATTAAAAATGTAGTAGTCGAAATTGTAAAATAATAAGGCGTAGGTGGGGTGAGAGGGATTATCATTCATGTAATTAGTGGTAACCAAGTTAAGGGAAGTGGCTGTAAGAATTTCTACTGAACACGCCAGAGTCTGACTTCTTCAGTCGGCTTCCGATGACCTTAGTTGTATGTAAGAGGCGAACTCACAAGGTAAAATTAATATTAGCAGGAATGCAATCGACAACTTTGAATGCTTTATTAATATCAACTTTATACTCACTATCTACAAGGTGTGCTAAAACAGAGCTACGAAAAGATTTTATTTATCTCTTGTTTAACCATTCAGAACGATGTTGGGAAATCCGATGGTGCACTTGCCTAACTGTACGCCCAATGAAGAAGCCAGACCTGCGGGTTGAGAAATTCGTGCAACCGATTCCCTTAACTTGGCCACCATCAATTTCATGAATGTAAAAACGGACAATTACGCCGCCACCTGAGCCTTTTACAAGTTAATAATAATAATAATGATTTACTTTATTCCAAAAACAGTACTTATGATACAGAATGGAATTTTTAGCATTCATCACAATATCTTGCGTCTAATTTCCTCAAATTATAAATAAAATTCATCACACAGAAAATTTTCCACATTTACAATAGGGTTATTTAAAAAAAAACATGCAGCATATAAAATGGAAATAATAATAATGATAACAGCTAAGATAATGATAATAATACAAGTTGAAATTGCCGTGGGCTTGTTTCACACAGTATTGTCGATGTGGTATAGAAATCCTAGCATGTTTAAAAATATTGAATATAATGTTCTATTTACATGATATGGTGAGGGGAAAAAACAAAGATTACAGCAGTCATAGAGATAAGTTGGTGTTTGCAATTATGAAATTAAAACAAAGAAGCAACAGGACCATAAATATAATAGAAATAATAAAAGTAAAACTTGAAGGTATATAAGGATGGATGGAGGAGATTGTTTATTTACTAGATGAAAAAAGGTTAGTCAATTCTTGCCTGACACTATTTTCATCACATAAAATACGTGCCAAGTATGGTATCACAGAACTTTTATACTTAGACGTGCGAGTATACAGTTTTCTGAAGTTACTTCTTGTTCTACCTGAGGAGATGCAAGGTGAAAGCTGAGGGTAAAGTGGATGCTTCAAGTCAGACAAAATCCTTATAGCACGAAGTCAAGTGCCTATCGACAACGACGTTAACTATGTAGTCCACTGGGACACCACTCACCCTACTGACAGTCTTCAGCATTCTACGAATTGTGACATAGTCCTTTTTAAGCAAACCAGGAAAGAATAAGGATGAACAATAAAGAAGAATAGGTAGGATGCAAGAGTTTATGAACTGTAAGAGGAGGGGTTGAGTTATACCCGAGTGCCTTAACTTCTTAATGTAAAATGTCAGGCAGAATATTTTACTGGAGATCGCTAAGACATGGGAAGACCAGGAGAGTTATCATTATTCTGAATAATTCATTTTTAATTTCCGGTCGCGTAATCAACTTGGACATCCATTTATTTCTTAATTATTCCTTATATTCCCAAATTATGCATTATGTAATTAACCTGTTTGATTTTCGCAACTATTTCTACCCTTTTATTGTTGTGTTAACTATTTCTTCACTCAGTGCTTTTGTCTACTAAAGCAGCTGCCGTACTTCATGCGTGACACGAATTATGAAACGAGGAATGTGACACAATTATTTAATTAAGAGTTAGTTCGTAGGGTTTCGATTTATTTCACGCTTGATTACGGACTGGTATCAGTTATAGTGTAACAATAGAAGACAAGGGCCAGGCAACAGATCGTTTATTTAGGAAATCAACAGATATTTATAGATTTTCATGTACATTATTATAGATTATTGTAAGCTGACAGACACAGTCTTCTGACTGGTGGTTACTCGCGGAACGTTAATCTTTCATCTCTTTCTGGTCGTTTCTTGAAGTTCAGAATATCCATCTGCAAATTGTATCCGCCTACGCAAAGTCTGCTGTAATTGGTTTTTGAGTCAATCTTTGTTCTTGTTCTTTCCTCATGACCAATATTTGGGACATAAACATTGACGTAAATTACTATCTACCAATTTTGGCTAGCAGCCAGCCCTCACCATAAAAGAATCGATGAGAACTGCGGAGTACAGGACAGCTGTAACATGCTTCCTGTTTGGGATTCATCATCGATACACACTCTATTAGGGATTGAACGGGGGATCTTCAGGTTATGAGGCCAAGCTGGTTATTAATTATTTAATTATGTTTCAAAGAAAGACATAATGTTCACCAAGTAAAATATACTACTTTGAGGAGAATTGTGTGAAGTTACCATAACAAGTTCTAGAGTATATTATGAACGACTAGAAGTTACGGACGAAACAAGAGACGAATGGTTTCAGTTATAACAAAATACTGCATACCCGAAAACGCAGCCAGTTCATTCCTGACCTTTTTTATGCTGGCAGCAAATATGTCACAGTTCATCTTCTGGTTCTGGATTTGTTTGTATGTGAGAATTCCAAAGAAAGCTGTCACTGCTGACCACAAAACAAGTTTGAGGAAGTTTATACACTTTTTTATATTCAATATTTTACACATTATACAACATTTAACAACTAGGCTTCTTGAATACAATAAGCACGATCTAACTTACCACTCCTTACTAGCTGCTATTCAAAAACTAGCGTTAGGATACATATCAGGATTTATAAATAAGTGAAGTGCATTGATCAATTACAGGGGAGGAGGGAGTGTCATGTGTGTCTAGTCTCTCGTATTCGTGCTGACTTAATTCTGTCCATCAAGTTCGCAGTGCAGTCCAAGAACACAAATAAGCTGTAAAAAGGCATGATATATACGTTCTTTGGTATCAATGCATGTGCATAATTACGGACACCAATTCGATTGGGTTAATATACAAGTTTTAAACAGAGAAATCACCAAAGATGTCATGGAACTCCGAGAAGCCGGGTTGGTACTCAAGTGAATCAGCAATTAACAAACACATTACTATCCATCAAGTTGGCAGAGAATTGACGCAGCGAAGATAGGACTTTAACTGAACACATGGAAGACGGAGATGATGAAGCTACCTAACCAAGAACTCCGAAAATCAATGACCATCAACGGGAAAGTAGAAGTATCACCTCTTTCACCTATTGAGGTAGCATCGTTTCAACTACAGGCACACGGCACAGATGATGACGTCAAAGATGGGATCGGAAAAGCACAACAGACCTGTGTTACTTTGAAGTTAGTGTGGAAATCTACTGCACTCAGCATAACGCACAAGATTCGAACATTCAAGACGAATGTTAAATCTTCGCCAGAACGCACCCTCCAGGATTCGAACCCAGGACCTTCTGGTTACAAGGTGAGCTAGCTCGTAGACCAATAAGCCACTGGGACCCAATCCAATTATCCTTGAATTCTAACTTCTGCCAATTCACGACATAGCGCGACCACTTCACAATGTCTTCTTCAACCTGCTGTACCCTACTGGTCACGGCTTTCCACTAGAACCCCAAAATAAATGCCCGAATAGGGCCAGTCACTAGTGAGCATCAGATTAACTTTCAAGTACTGGTTTTGTAGGGATTTTGTTTGGTTGCATGGAGGATTTCATCATGAGCTGACATCAGTGAAGAGTCCCAAACTAGGACGAAACAGCTGTCCAGTACTCGCAGGTTTTCCAGTGGTTCTCTAACTGATGTCAGCTCATGATGAAATCCTCCATGCAATCAAACAAAATCCCTACAAAACCAATACTTGAAAATGTTAAATCACCGATTCTATATGGTTCAGAGACTTAACACGTCACAAAAAGTACTTCCAACAGGATGATGTAGACTTTTATCAAGAGCTTCCATCGCTTCATGCTGAAGATCACATGGTCAGCAAGAAAGGAGAAGTAATACGAAATTTCGGTAGGCAACGAGCCAACCAAGAACTAGCTAGGCAAGAGAATGCCGATAGGAATGAAGATGGATCGGACATAGGCTGAGAAGACCATTAAGTGACGTCACGCGCCAGGCTTTCAAGAAGAACCTGGATGAGGGACGACGAGTCAGGTATATGTCCACGGGTGACAATGAAGGGATTGTTTGAGAAAGAAATGGATGCTTGATGGAGATGGTGACGGCAACTAAACACGACTGCAGAGAACAGGATGAAATGGAGATGTGATGCTAAATTGTCATGTCCCACCGAGAACCCCACAAACTGGAAGATATGCAAGCGAAAAGCAACAAGTTAGCAGAAGAAGCATCAAAGATAGGACTTCAGGTGAACATAGAGAAAACGGAGGTGATGAAGATTCCTGGCCAACACCACCAACAGCAACAACAACTGACAACGATCAGCATAAATGGGAGGAACCTGAAAGAAACAACCTCCTTTACCTACCTACCTATCTGGGAAGCATCGTTTCAACTACAGGCGGAACTGACGAGGATATCAAAGCAAGAATCGGAAAAGCAAGACAAGCTTTCACTACTCTCAAGTCTGTGTGGAGGTCAACAGCACTACTCAGCATCAAAAATAAGATCCGGATTTTCAACTCCAATATGAAGTCAGTGCTACTATACGGATCAGAGACTTGCACTGCGCGTCATGAAGAGCATCTCAAACAAACTACAGACCTTCATTAACAGTTGTCTTCGCTCAATACTCAAGATCAAATGGCTGTTTAGAAAAGATCAGCAACAGAGATCTCTGGCAATGAGCGAACCAACACAGCAGGAACCGATTGTGAAACAAATGGGCAGGAAGAAATGGAGATGGATTGGCCATACTCTGAGGAAACCGTCAAGTGACATCACTAGACAAGCCATTGCTCGAGTGGAACCCGAAAGGGAAGCGGTGAGTTGGTCGTCAGTGCAAGGGTGACTTGGAGGAGGTCATGTGAAGAGGTAATGAAAACGTGTGGGCAGACTTGGAGCCAGGTGAAGACTCTAGCAGAGAACAGAACGCAATGGAGACGCACGGCTGAAGCCCTATGTTCCTGTAGGAATTAAAGGATACAATAATAATAATAATACCGAGAACCCAGGGCAATAATTATAATAATAAAACTGATTGTAGTAGCCGCCAGTTTATATCATGTAAAAAAGTGAGCCACTGTGGTAAGGAATCACTCAATGTTATATCTTAATCTAAATTGTAACACCATATCTTTTCTTATCATGTCATGTTTTAAACCTGCCTGCGGTTTCAATCATATCTTCACCTTACGCCTTACTAATTCCCATCGCTTAATACAGTCTTACACAAGGATGGTTAATCGGTAATACGATGTATGTTTGTTAATGTCATCTGTTGACATTTTTTTCCTTCACGTTCCCCAGTGGAACATAGGGCTTCAAGCTAGTACCTTGGAGTTTCTGTAGCAGTGTTTATTTTTACAGGATGGGGTTGCTAGCCTCATGCCCAACTTTTCCTCTTCACCAGCATTATTTTTGGCTTAGTGAGGTAAAGGAGTGAGTCGACCAGGGATCGAACCCCGGACCATATGCATGGTCGGCGAGCGTCCTAACCGCTATGCCACCGACGCCCATCTGTTGACATAGTGAGAAGAAATTAGGTAGTAATTTATTATAATTATCGAAATAACTACGTTAAACAGAAATGATTATTAAACCTCGTTTACAAAATATGAAATCAGCATATCACTACACAAACACATACATACGCACCCAAAGGTACACACACACACACAAAAGCAAACAAATAATATATTTAACCCATTTAGTAAATAACATAAATAAATAAATAGTCTGAATCAAAAATATTAAAGAAAAAAAAGGATAATAACACATTTTACAGTTCAATCTCATCGTCGTGAACATTATCATCATCATTATCGGCCGACTAAATTAGGCTCACTGAATCCAGTCAGTAGGCCACTGTCTGGACTTGGTTTTAGGATAATCTTTTGAATATCACGAAATTGTGGATGATTAGAACCACAAAGGATAGTCAGTAGAACTGATTCACATGTTGTTAAATAGACACCAGATTGACGCATACGTTGAAATCCAATTATTCTAGAATAGATATATAAAGGAAGATCGACAAAAATGAAGTATTCACATCAACTAGTAGTGCTTGCTAGCCGAATTGAAGTGATCAAAGGACAGCTGATGAGGTCAGTTCTAAATGAGTGAAACAGCTGTCCATGATTTATTAAATCAACTTTCATCTGGCTAGCAAGAATGAAAACTGTTTCAAAAAGAGAAACATTGCTGACAAAACAGGATAAAATAAGTTGAAAAAAAATGGAACGCAATACTTCCTTGTTTAAAATAGGCAATTGTTTGTATCCACAGGGTTCTAATATGTTATGTGGTCGGGTGAATTAATACGTGGGTATAACGACGCCTGGACTCAGTAGACATCTTAACTAATGATAATAATAATAATATTAATAATAGTAGCTTTATTCCAAACAGTATTTGTGGTACAGGTATGGAATTTTCAGCGTGCATTACAATATTACATCTAATTATCTCATAAATTTTATAAGATTTTAAAAACAAAAAGCAACAACAACAAAAAAATAGATAAATAAAAAGAAATAAAAAAAGAACAGCGTTGCATTCATATTTTAAACAATGCACCACAGGAATATGAAATATAAAATTAGTGTGCAATAGAAGATGTGAAACAACAATATAATAGTAACGAAGAAAGGGAAACAAAAACTAATGGGAACTACTTGTTAGAGTGCCGCAGTAAGTTGATCGTGTCATACCTAAGGGATTTCTCATCACATAACAGCTGTGCCAGATAAGGTATTGTGGAGTTTTGTACTTGGTAGTCCTAGCATAAAGCCTCCTATAGCTACTTCTAGTTCTACCAGATGAGATGCAAGGAGAGAATTGCGTATAGAGAGTATGCTCAGGATCTGACAATATAGTATTCGCTAGTTTCTTACATGACATTATATGTCTATCCACAATAGTATTAATCAGTTGGTTTAACGATATCCCACTTGCCCTACTAACGGCTTTTAGTGCCCTTCTCAGCAAAGCAAAGTCTTTCTTAAGTAGTCCAGGAAAGATTAATGGGGAGCAGTAAAGAGGGATGGGTAGAATACAAGAGTTGACAAACTGAGAAAGCAAAGACTGCTTTATACCAGAAAGCCTTAATTTCCTAACGTAGAATGTTAAGCGAAACATCTTTTTAGTAACTAACAAGATGTGAGAGGACCAAGAAATATCGGAGGAAATACATGGTCTAAGGTACTTAGCATTAGATGTAATTTCAACCTTTATGCCGTCAATGATAATGGGGCTATGTGAGCTAACAAGTTTTTGTAGGTCACTTTTTCGTCTGGAAGTGAAATTGACTACCTGACATTTAGACGGATTTAGCTTAAGACCGTTTGAAGAGGATCACTGACTGACTAATTTCCTACAGAAAGCTATTTAATTTGGAACAATCTGACTGAGAGGTGACAGGCATGTAAACAGAGAGGTCATCAGCATACTTAACAAAAGTGGCTACATCAGAATGGGGCAAGTCATGTAAGATAAAAGAAAACAGAAAAAGAGAAAGAACAGCACATTGAGGAACACCAGCTAAAATAAGTGAGGTAGTGGAGGACTTTCCATTGTAGACGGTGTACTGCTTCCTATCAGAAAAATAGGAATGCAACCACTTATTTGTCCAGCTATCAGCCTGTGTTGCAGCAAGCTTACTTAGCAAGAGAGACCCAGGTACTGAGTCAAATGCGGACGTATAATCAAGGAAGGCATACCGAACGTATTTAGCTCCTCTGTTTAAACTAGAGACTATATTATGATATAGAACAACAGCGGCATCTAAGGTACACCTACTATGTTTATAAGCAAACTGGTTGGGGTCATTGAAAGGCTTTAAAGAGGGTTCAAGATTAAGTAAAATAAGTCTTTCCATAACTTTTAAAAGAGGTGAGGTAATAGCAATGGGTCTAAACTTGACAGTAGGTCCACTTGTTGATTTGGGCACTGGAACAACCTTGATATTGAATACGAATTTTCCTCCCTCAGTGGCTTATGTTTCACTGAGCCACGAAAATACCACAAAGCAAAGACTGGTCTTTCATTGTAAGAACAACTTTATTCGATACTGACTCACTGACTGACTAACTGAGTTTTAAAATAATAGAGAAGATTTGTAGCTCAGGTGGATGACTCACAGATCAAATACTCAACTATAGTAGCAATAAACCAATTACACACACAAAAGAAAATGTGTGCAGACATTGTTTGCAAGAGAGTTCAAACACACTATAGCACTCCAACGTTGAAAAGAATGGAAGAAAAATACCTACTAAATGTCTTCAAAAAGAATGCATATCCTCACAATTTCATCAAAAAGTGTCACCAAAAGTGAGTCAGAGAATTCCTAGAAGCCTGGTACTCAAACGAATATGCGATTAACAAACATGTTAATATAGACCAAATCTACCAACTAATAAAAAGTAAATCATATGACGAGAAAGTTTAAAATCCAAGTCAATAAAAAAGATCAATACGTAAGTGAAGATGGTTACCGGGAGACGCAATTCTATCACTCATGGAAGATTTAAATCAGTTCACTTTATGCTAAAAATTGCGCTGAAGATGTTTTCCAGAAGGACGACGAAAGCTCAGCGATTAAACCAACCAGCTCAGAGAACACTACTAATCGCAAATTAACTGAGTTTTAGCGTAGAACTTCACACAGAAGTACACTAGTTCAAGTTATCACACTCCATATAGCGCACCAAAGTAGAGAAGAAAGAGAGAAATGAAACTGAACGTAACTATAATGAGCAGAAATGTACAGGCGAATAAATCAAAATGCAGATAAATATGAGGATTTGATGGATCTGGGAGATAACAAAGAGTAAGTGCATCTGTGCCACTAGCAGCGATTTAAGCCGTATCACCAACAGTCTTGAGGACCCCAACCAGGCAGTTTTAGCATCCCTACGTGACTGGCTCAAACCAACAGTCAAAGACGTCATGGATTAATAACATAGTTTGATTTTCATGAATAAAAACTCCCAATGCGTAAGAGTTGAATAAGTGTATCACAGTTGCGTAATAAGATGAATAATTTAATAAATGAGTTCTAATCAGGATGCACGTAGAGACGACGAAAAATATGGAGTTGCATAAGAGCTCTAAAGAAATACAAGAGTTATATAGAGTTCGAAAAACAAACAAACACACAAACAAAACTCAAGCCAGTAGAAATAGATAGGGTTGTTACCAAAATAGTAGAAGTAGTTGATCAATTCCCTTTTGTAAGAAAGGAGACTTAAGTCAATGTAAGAACTGTCGAGGAATTATGCTCCTGTCTATCCCAAGCAAAATACTAAACCGCATCATCCTGGAGAGAATCAAACAAGCCCTGGATGAAAAACTTCGACCGGAACAGGCTGGATTCAGGAGAAACAAGTCATGCATTGATCAGATCGCCACATTACGGATCATCATTGAACAAAGCTTGGAGTGGCAGTCACCTCTCTATCTCAACTGCATCGACTTTGAAAAGGCCTTTGACAGCGTCGATCGAGAGGTGATTTGGAAACTACTTCGCTACTACGGGGTGCAACCGACAATAATACAGCTCATCCAACAGCTATACGACAATGCTGCATGCCAAGTAATCCACAATGGGAAACTTACGGAACCCTTCGAAGTGAGGACAGGAGTAAGACAAGGCTGCCTACTATCGCCAATGATTTTCCTGATTGCAGTAGACTGGATAATGCGACAAACAGCGGGCAATGAGGAAACAGGCATAAAATGGACTCACACAAAAAACTTGGAGGATTTGGACTTCGCCGATGATATATGTCTGATTTCTCACAAACTGGAAGATATGCAAGTGAAAAGCAACAAGTCGGCAGAAGAAGCATCAAAGATTGGACTTCAGGTGAAAATAGAGAAAAGAGAGGTAGGTGATGAAGATTCCTGGAAAACACCACCAACAGCAACAACAACAGACAACGATCAGCATAAATGGAAGGAACCTGAAAGAAACAACCTCTTTCACCTTCCTGGGAAGCATCGTTTCAACTACAGGCGGAACTGACGAGAATACCAAAGCAAGAATCGGTAAAGCAAGACAAGCTTTCACTACTCTCAAGTCTGTGTGGAGATCAACAACACTCATCATCAAAAATAAGATCCGGATTTTCAACTCCAATGTGAAGTCAGTGGTAATATACGGATCAGAGACTTGCACTGCGCGTCAAAAAGAGCATCTCAAACAAACTACAGACCTTCATTAACAGTTGTCTTCGCTCAATACTCAAGATCAGATGGTCGGCCAGAAAAGATCAGCAGCAGAGATCTCTGGGAGCGAACAAACCAGGAACCGATTGTGAAACAAATAGGCAGGAAGAAATGGAGATGGATTGACCATACTCTGAGGAAACCGTCAAGTGACATCACTGTGTAACTGCATTTAGTGCTGCTATAGCTGAACTGTTCTCTAGATTTCTTATCTTATTCGGGTTAACCAATCTAGATTTTGCAAGATTTTTATGCTCGGCTAGTCTGACTGCCCCTGTTCTACTACTTTGACCTTTGTATTTGACCTGACAATCATTGCAGGCAGGGTATTAGATAAACTAAATTGTTTTGTTTTAAAGGCTCCACAAGCAGGACTCTTTAGCCGACAGAGCTTGTTTCTAATTGAGTTTGTGGGTTTGAATGCCAGCTAATTTTGTTCCTGCCTTGTTAAGAATTCTGCGTAGGGTTTCCGAGATTTCTTCCTTTTATGGAATTACTACTGATGATTTAGATTCCTTATTATTGGTGTTGTCTTGCGCATATTTGACATGCATTTCGTCACTAGTATTATTATTATTATCATTATTATTATCACTATCACTGCTAACATTATTTATTCTATTTTTACATTTCCCTATATATTTTTGGACTAATTTATCAGGGTAATTATTAAGTTTCAAGGCTTCTCTTATTTGTCTCACTTCCTGTCTTAGATTTTCCTTGGTACTACTTAGTTTTTGTGCCCCATTTCTTAAACATTTCACTAATCCTATTTTCACTGACATAAGACGGGATGATCGGAAATCCAAATATCTGTTTGAATGAGTGGGTTTCCTGTAAACACTAGTGTTTAACTACCCATCTTCTTTCCTTTTTACGCTGCAATCTAACATTGGCAGCTCCCCTTCCTGACTTTCCAATTCATCACAAGTCAATTGAATTGACTCCACCTTTGAGTTAATGTGTTGGAAAAATCTATCTATATCCTGTGTTCTAAGTACAGTGAATGTGCCATCTACATACCTCCACCATACTTTTGGGTGGGGGGTGAAACGTCACCCAGTAAATAATACTATTTCACTGTGTGATACATCTAATAAACAAACTAATATGGATCAATACATCCTTTTTGAACTCAAAATTTAACTGGTTGTCTTAACTTTGCAGTCCAATATCTTCAATTACCCTCGAAAAACTGTGGATATTGCGGTCATAGATCGTTTATGAGTGCAGTTCAAGCACCGAATGGGGTTAACAAAGGAAGACAATTCGTCTAGTTTCTTTTAACCTGAAAAGATTTATGACATATAGAGTTCTTTGGAACTATCCCCGATTTTAATGTATCACTTTGTATATTAGTTAGTGTGATCAATAATTTATTACAAACATTTTTACTCACCCTTTGGAGGTGAAACCACTCATCGTTTCAGTTTTGTGACAGCCTCAAAGGAGGTGAGGATAAATATCCACTGCCTAATCCGACTGACTTTAGACGTTATCCTAGTGTATGCCACTGAAACTGAAACAATTTAGACGTGTGTTCATTAAAGTTCCACCTACCTCGAAGTACTTTCCGATTGCAACCATTCTGTCTAATGCCCTTTTTGGATTACAGCTTAATTCAACACCGTATTTTTTTGGTACAGGTATGGAATTTTCAGCATGTGATGTCGGTAGCCCAAATTTTGCAGGCCGACCATGGATATCAGGTGTGCGTCGGGAGGGGATCGAACCCCGGACCATGTGTATGGTCGGCGAGAGTCCTAACCACTGTGCCACCGACGCTCAGTACCAACCCACCCCCACAACCACCACAGTTTATTCAGTTCGGTCCAGTAAAGAAAACAATGGTATATTACACAGTCCGTATGAAATATAATCAAGGCTAACAGACGGAATTTAAACGTAGAGGAGTTGTGGCTCATCAGCTCAAGTGTTGCAGTTGAACTCCACCGAGTTCAGCCTGGCCAGCAGGTTAGTAAGTTTTGGCTCAGAGCCTGATACATAACAAATCTGTTTCGCGTGAGTTCTAACGAATAACAAATCTCGCCAATATACAATACAGGCTCCCCTCCGAGATTCTACCATCCTACACTCTTATTTTACCACCATTGGTCTACAGAATTGAGAATATCTCAAATAGTTTGATAAAATAAAATATCAACTTACCTGTCAACCATATTTCTTGAAGAAACAGCATCAACAATACAATGAACTTGTATACCTCGTTCAAGTAGATCCAATGCAGTGGATTGAACGCATACATGTGTTTCAATACCACATATCAATACAGAGTCAATATGACTTCCCAACTCCAATATATTCATCACTTCATCTGTTAGCATAGTGAATGATCGTTTCGCAATAACAGGAATACCACTTAAATCGCCTAATTCTTTTACAGTAGGTCCTAAGCCTAAATGATTAAAGAAAAACTAATCATAAGTTGTTAAGTTAAACATTTCAGTTAAGATATTCTTATTATTACCTTATAATTATTCCTTTGGGTTCCGAGTGGAACATGAAGAGGGCTTCAGCAGAACATCGCCATTTCATATCTGTTCTCTACAGTCTTCTTTTAGGCTGGCCTGACGATTGTCCACTGGCTTGCATTTCCTCCTGATACGATCGCCTCAATGTCTGTCTCAGACACACGGCCAGCTTGTAGTTACCCTGTCGGGTTACACTCAGGGGCCTGGGGCACGATGTCACGCAAATGTCGTCTACTCAGTATATCTGTCTGTTCTGTCTGTGTCTGTTTTGGACATATAACTTTGCACCGATGTGCAGCAGTTCAAGTCGCCACACTCCATGTGGCACACAAAGCAAGAGAAGAAAGTAGGAGAAGTGCGAAATAGAGACAGTAGACAGGGATATGAGACAAAATGAATGGTAATAGAGAAGAACGATGCAGTTTCATTTGAAATCATAAGTCACAAGGAGTGGATGCATCTGAGCTAGCCATTGACAACGATTTTGAGCCATGTCACCAATTGTTTCCGACCATTCGTTTTTACCGTCCCGAGGACCCCAACCAGTCAGGAAGTCTACACTTTCCTACGTGGCCAGCTTAAACTAAATGTTGTGGATTTCATTGACTGGTGCCATGTTTTGTTTTGACCGCCGCTAGCTCTTTTCCAGCCTGACTCTATGTCAGCTAACATTGCCCGTCGAGGAAGGCGATGACTAGACGTACGTAACACATGTCCTAACCATTTCAGTCGATGTAATTTCACAGCCGTAAGCAACTCAGTATATTTCCAATACACCAACATTCCCTTTTGCATATTTGTGTAGCCAGAGGTTCTTAGTTTCACTGCAGAATTCATTGTTGTTTATCCTTTCTGATCGACCATCTTATCTTCACTGTCGAGCCACATGGAAGTGTTTTTCATTAGGCGCCAATTCTCTGAGTCAGTCATCCAGAAGCACCTACTTGACACTAGTATTGGAGATCCAGGACTAGACACATTACACTAGTTACTGACTAGTGTTCAATCAAAAATATCCAATACAGTCCTACAGGAGGTTAATCGCGAGCCTGAATAGCTCAGTGGTAACGTCTCTGACTGCAGCACTGGGTGATGCGGGTTCGAATCTCAGAAGGGACATCAGCTCCTTCAAGGTTGCAGATAGGCCTTGCTTACTGGTGAGTGCCAGCTAATACGAAACCTAGGTCCAAGGCTTCCTTCCGATTGCCTCCAACCATCTAATACCAACAATTCACAATACACCGTAATGGCGAGCCACCTAGAATGGTGGCCACATTGCAAACATGACTGACAGAATTCAGTCTGCACCGGAGATAGGACTAGACACATTACACTAGTTACTGACTAGTGTTCAATCAAAAAAGATCTTGCTCCTTATGTTGAGTACAGTAGATTGCCACACTGATTTCAGAGGAATGAAGGTTTGTCTCACTTTTCCGACATCTTTATCCATGTTGCCTTTGGATTCTGTTAGATTCCACCCATGATTGCTGTCGTTGGTTCCATACTGTATGAGAAAATACTGCTTGGAATAAGGTGATTATTGCTGAATAGGGATGTACTGGTGAAGCTTAATGTTGCACTAGGAACCCCGAGGGGGTAATATTAATAATTGATGTCATACAGTTATTTTAGATATTATAGAGAAGATTTGTAGCTCAGGTGGATGATTTTGATGTGGTTGTGTTCTCTGAGCCGGATAGTTAATTTGCGAAGCTTTCATCGCCCTACTAGGCGACATCTTCAGCGCATACTTCAATTTGAATTGGAGTGAGCTTTTAGAATTCTCCACGAGTTTATTAATCATCTCTCGGTGACCTTGAACGCGATTGGTTGTTTTCGTTTGTTTTCACACCTTCTAGGTTACTTGTATTGTAACTCATTGTTTCTCTGACTTGAACTTTGACTCATCGTGTGTGAGGTTTCTTTCTTATCAGTTGATAAATTTTGTCAATCTCGATGTGTCTGTTGATTGATGATTCACTGGAATGCCAAGCTTCTAAAAATTCTCTAGCATTCTTGTTGTTTCCTCTGTCTAATATTTGAACGTTATCCCAGTCAAATTGATTTCCGTGGTTGTCTGTATGCAGTGAGGCGATATGAGGGAGTGGATATCATGTCTTTTGACGGCTAGCTTATGTTCGTGGATACGAAGACGAAGGGGACGTCAAAGTTGGTCAATGTAGTGTTGTTCGCAGTTGATACAATTTATTTTGCAGATGATGTTGGTTTTATCTTCTTTCTCTGTTGAGTCTTTTGGTTGACATAGAATTGAGTGAAGTGACTTTGTTGGTTTGTGTACGACGTCAATTCAAACCTTTAGGAATTGACGTCGTACTTTAACAAAGCAAGAAGAACATAGTGTGTAGGATAAAATGACGTCATTATAACACTTTCGTTGGTTCTTTCCAAATGAGTTGAAAAGAACGATATGTTCTTTTTGCTTGCTTATTCCAAATATTAGATTTATTGTAAAAGAACAAGTGCATAGAGTTTGAGTGTTGGAATTTACACTCTATGTTTTTGAAATATTAAGATCATTCAGAACATGATATGCATAGTTACGACCCGTAAAGTTACCATGAGGTTCACGAGATCAAATGATTAAGAACTCTAGGTCATATGGATGAACATTTGACCACAGCAACTTTCTTTCCTCCTATTCAGGTAGGTAGTTACCTGGGTTCTAGTAGGAAGTTGTGACCAGTGAGTGGAGTACAGTAGGTCAGGTGTGAGGACAGATACTCGTCGATGATATCGGCCACTGGTCACGTTATATAGTGAATTGGCAGAAGTTGGAATTCATCAGCTGGCCATTGGATTGAATCTCAGTGGCTGAATGGTCTACGAGCTCATCTTGAAACCGGAAGGTCCTGGGTTTGAATCCCGGTGGGTACGTACTGATGAAGAGTCACAAACTGGGACTAAACAGCTGTCCAGTACATGATGAAATCCTACAACCAATCAAATCAAATTCCTGCAAGCCAACACTTGAATTTCTTTCTTCCATTTATCAAGAACACTTTGTGACTTTTAAAATTTCCCCTTGTTCCTCTATTTCACCATTATCTTCTGTCTAGACGTAATGTGAGATACGACGCCACGGACACCTGAATACACAGTAACGTCATGTCGTATGCAGATAATATTTGACTGTCAAGTCAATGATTCTAAGCGTTTGACTACCGTCACCTTCTTGAAAGGTGGCGTCAGTGGTTTTAAAAATAAATTGTCACTAGCAGAGTTATCTTGAAATACTGCTTTCCAGGGATTCTGATACATATAACCAATGTTATTTAAGCTACTTTCAGATCAGTCAATGTTCACTTAACTTGGAACAGAAAGGAGAAAAGGAATTAGCAAACACTATATGCTATAAAATACTCAATGATGGATGGACGCTAGGGATGATAGATTAGTACTCTTACTCTGAGGAAACCATCGAGTGGCATCACGCGGCAAGCCATCGCTCGAGTGGAACCCGAATGGGAAACGGCGAGTCAGATGGTCGTCAGTGTGAGGGTGACTTGGAGGAGGTCATGTGAAGAGGAGATGAAAACGCGTGGGCAGACATGGAGCCAGGTGAAGACTCTAGCAGAGAACCGAGCGCAATGGAGACGTGTGGCTGAAGCCCCATGTTCCTCTAGGAACTAAAGGAAACAATAATAATAATAACAATAATAATAATAATAATAAACGAAATATTCCCATTCTCGAGTCATCAGAAAAAGACAAATTCCTGCGTTTTTCTGTCAAGCTTGCTGAAGTTAACACGGAGCTTAATTTTCTGAAACGATGTATCAATAAGCATTACATAATGTAAGGTGTAAGAAGGGTTGACTAATTGTGAGTTAGAAAAGAGACAAAGGTAGGCATGACATAATAAGTGTGAGATAATGACTAATCAATAAGCTCGTGTAGAATGGACAGGAACTAGTAGAGAGGTGATAATAATGATAATAATTATTAGTGGTTTAGTGAGGTAAAGGAGTGGTTCGGCCTAAAACTTACTATTTTATTGACACATCTTATCAGCATTCCTTTTGTTGCTGTGGGAATTTACTATAGGTACATGCAGTTGTACAGTTTGAAAATGAAAATAAGTAACTTTTCACTGAATGCACCTTCTTTTAATCAATGCTTTCTTACATAACAGCTAAAGCTAAATCAAAGTTATAAAGTGCATTCTGTTCAATCATTCTTTTACCATTTCACATCATAGATATCAACATTAACAAGAGAATTATTCAGTCACATGTACATCTAAGCGTTTGACATGTCGAACGTTAGTAGCACAGGAGTGCCGAAAGATTAATGAAGATTATTCAAATAAATAAACCCCATTAATAATTATTATGTCATATTTAATTATCATTCATTACTGGAGGTCAAAACTTCCGTATTAAATCCATACTATTGGTCATTGTAAAGTTCAGTGGATAACCCTTTGATTTTTTGAAACACTGGGTGCTGGGTTCGAGTCCCAATAGGAACACCATCACTTTCTGGGGAAGTAGGCATATCCAGATTATAAATCCTAAATGGGACGAAAAGCACATCCAAGAATACACTGTCAGCCAGCGTCAGTTAAATAACTTCATTGAATTTAGACTTTATGAAAGTGGGGATATCACGAAAAAAAAATTTTAACTTACCCTGAGGATACATTTCAGTGACTACTGTACGCATTTTTAACATTCGCGCAGCTGTTAACATACGACTCGAAGTTTCAACAATAGCATTAAAATGACTAATGGTTGGACGAAATTTCTCTTGCATATCACATAATAATAAAGCTGTCCGGGATAAAATTAACTTGCCAACACGTGAAACATTTGCCATTATGCTAGAAAAAAAATTGGGGAAAAGAAAAGTAAGTAAAACAAATTTTAGATTATGTTCATATAGGTTTAAAAAAAGAAAGTTTTAGGGGTTGAACATTGAACAAAAAACTGAACTCATTCTAACGCTAAGCATACATACTTACACCATTTTATCTGTAGTTTAAAAAAAAAAGTTGAGTAGAGAAAACAAAATAAAAGGCAATCTACAAGCTGAAGCATCCATTGTTCCATTCAATATTAGTCTAAAAATAATAAACTACAAGTTTCTTTTCATTACTTTGCTTTCCAAATGGAACAATTTCAGCTGGCAAAGTCTTTGGCAGTTGGTGTAGTGGTCTACATGATTGGGGTCCTCGAGAACTGATGAACCAGTATGGCTTGACAGTGTTGGTGATATGGCTTAAAATCGTTTTCAGTGACGCAGATGCATTAACTACTAGTTATTTCCCAGATCCATTAGACCTTCATGCTTTTCCATGGCACTATTCTTTCTCCGGTACATTTCTTGTGTGCTACATGGAGTGAGGCTACTTGAACTACTGAACTTCTGTGCAATGTTCTTTGTTGAAACTCAGTGAGAAACGTAGAAGATCAGGCTTTGAAGTTTAAGTATCAGTGGTATTGTTCTTTTTCTATGGATTAGGAGTGTTAGCCTCATACACAACCTTTCCTCTACTTCATGTTTATTATCGGTTAGTAAGCTGGGCGAGATTTAGGAGAAATTATACAATCTAATCTATCATTTAGAAAAAAACGTGATAGCATCAATATCGTTTCAGCTGAACGACTTTGATTTGAGGCCCTTACGAAGTTACGGTTTTTAATAGTTTGGGATTCTTCAGCAGTACGCATCCATGACCTCATCAGGAATCGAAACGCAAGATCTTGAGGATACGAGGCAGGTCTACTGATTGTTTAGCCACTAGGACAGAATTCAATGGCTTATGAATTCTAACTTCTCCCACTTTATGATATATAGTGCGAATAACTCTTCGCTCTATACTGAAGATTAGATGGCCGCCGGAAAGAATCACCAACAGGAAACTATGGGAACAAACAAAACAAGAACCAATCGCCCAAGAAATATGCAGGAGAAAGTGGAGATGGATTTGACACTCGCTGAGGAGGTCGCTAGGTGATATCGCGCGTCAGGCCAGTGCTCGAGTGGAACCCGAAAGGGAAGCGGCGAGTGGGACGTCCAACGGTGACATGGAGGAGATCGTGTGAAGAGGAGTTGAAACAGTATGGATTAACATGGATGCAGGTGGAAAGTACAGCAGAAGACAGAAGCAAGTGGAGACGTGTAGTTGAAGCCCTATATTCCACTAGGAACCCAAGGGAACAATAATAAATAAAATAACATGTCCTAACATTCAACAGAATGGAATTCGTTGGTCACTACTTTCCATTAGGATTCCCGTTGTCAATCACTAGAGTAATTCTCGAAAGTTGGTTTGTAGGACATGGATTGATTGTTGCTAAAATGAGAAAGGTAATATATTTATAGACGTGATAAATTTCCACGCAACATTTATTCTTTGTGTACAACGACGATAGCTGGAAGCAGATATAACATTCTGTTGCCTTTAATCAATAATAAAGGTGAGAATCATACATAATGTTCAAGGTTTTACGTAAGTGTGAAGGTCTTATTCGTTAACAATTTTACTTCAGGGGGATGGATATCTTATTCAGAAACTGGAATTTATTTTTAATACTAACAGAATACCAAGTAATTTTTAAGAATTAATCTAAGTTCCAGTAAAAACCGATTACGTTTAAACATAGTGAATATTTGTGGTAACTAATGTGGGAATATTGCAAATGGAATATCAATACATACAGAGTACATGAAATCTACAGTGCGTCAGTGGCATAGAGGTTAGGACGCTCGCTGACCATGTGCATGGTCCGGGGTTCGATCCCCGGCCGGCGCACTCCTTTACCTCGCTAAGTCAGAACTAAAAGCTGGTGAAGAGGAAAGGTTGGGTATGAGGCCAGCAACCCCATCTTGTAAAAATGAAACACTGCTACAGAAACTTCAAGCCTCTAGCTTGAAGCGCTATGTTCCCCTGGGAACGTGAAGGAATAAAAAAACATGAAATCTACACATATGTTAACGACGACATACGCGACTGTCCACCAAGCGTTACATACACACTCAATCATTGTATTATGATATAAATATCAACACAGCAATACTGTAGTAAATTGTAGAGGTGTAATTAATGGTAGCATACGGTAGCATAGCACTTTTAACATGATTTCTCCATTCCTTGTATTCCAACTGATGCATAGGGCTTCACACTCAAGGCCTTGAAGTTTAAGTAGTAGTGTTATCTTTCTACAGGGTGAGACTGATGATAACCTTACGCCAAAACTGTCCTCTTTTCCGGACTGACTTACTACCGACTAAGCAAGGTTAACAAGTGCGTCGACCGGGAAATGAAACCCAGGCGACGTGCATGGTTGGCGAGCATTCCACCGCTGAACCATAGACGCACTGCTGTTAACAGAGACAAACAGTATTCAAGTTAATGTAGAGCAAATGTTGTAAATACTGCTTAATTTCGCTTTGTTTCATTAGATGTGACAAATTTAAAGGGTTAAGTAAATTGCATGAGAAGGGGGAACAGCCTAGTTGTGACTCCTTGAACCCACGAATCTCTGATTCAATATGAGTATCAGGGGAAGGCAAGTAATTACTCAGATGCTTAAATATATTGCTGAATCACAACCCCTCGGAGGAAGTCCGAGAGATGATCTGAATTTAGGAATCTATAGGTTGCAAAGCACGCCAAAGTAGGTGTAAAAAAAGCATTAACAGTGTGATATTAGCACAAGTGGTCCAAAAACAAACACCATAAAGCAAGCATTGAAGAATCATTTTCCATTGTCTACCATGTACCAAACAATTTTTAAAAGCCAGTAAGGACGGAATCCTGCAAACAGTAGAAGCTATAGCAGTTCGTCTGAAACAGCCAGAACTCTGTACGCAAAAGAAACTAGTTCGGCCAAACATGGCTAACCCAGCGTGCTATGGAATTTATAACTGCTAAATACTGTCACCTTTAGATTTGTGTGTACATGCATCCCCAAGTATTTTGTTGGAAACAATTATTCTCAACTAACATGGATATGTAGCTTCAGAACCCGAAGAATTTATCGAGAAGAATATTTCTTCGTTCACTAATTACTACTATATTTTCAAACATCCAGGATATCCTACTTAAAATCTGACCAGCAGAACGAATAGCGTTTACTAGAATATAACGCTCAATAAGCCTATAAAATCCTACTGTTATCTGAATATTATGAATATTGTGAGTCAAATTAGTTTATAAATTCCAGCTCACCCTGTACTGAAGTCTCATTCTCTGAGAGTAATGAAAGAAAATGTAGCTAAGTACTGCAGCGGTAAAATTACTGACTTACAGCTTCTACAATAGGTGCTGACTCTTACTGTTTAAGCCGAAGATAAACCCCTAAGCGCGACGGTGCCATTTGGTATCCTGTCCTGTTATGTTTGATTGTTTTCCTGCAAGATCTCTAGTTGCTTCAACACACATTCTGAGTTAACGAATTCAGTACCAAAATATATTTTGTATTTTAGGCAATACAAATGCTGTTTTGATTACGACTATTGACTATTTCCCGACCGATAACTGCTACCTTGACGTGGTGGTAGGGCTTGCATATCGCAATGACCCAACGAGCTACACTGACTGGAACTTATGTTCCTCTAGGTCCTACCATGCCAGAAAGGTTGTTTGGATAGCGGTTAGACAAAAAGCAGCTACCCGATCCAACACTATGATTTAAACAAATCCACAAAATATCATGCCGGATCGGTCGGGGCCCGGATTAACAATGACCGCGCTTCCTGCTGCCGTGTCACAGGGCAGAAGTGATAAATATGCTACTGAGACACACCAAACAAAAAAGAACAAACAAAAACAGGCCGCATGTGACCGGCCTCAAGCAGTTGTCCCCTGGGCTCTGCGGTCACGCAAAACTAACTTTTTCTCTATTTCAGGTACCCGAAGAATCAATCAACTTGCACGGTGTGGGCAGCCGGGAAGTAACAACCGCCCACACACTTCCAAAAGCACACGAAGCCTTCCTGAGCATCACTCTCCCTTACTCACATCATCTTCCTCATGTTGCTGCTCTACTACAGTTAGCACTATTCTGCAGATTAGTGAGTCATCTTCACTTCACTCTGAGACCACAAACAACGATGAGAGCCATAGAAACACCCCAGATAGCCTTTCAAAGCCACGTCAGGACCCTCTGCCAAATCGGACAACAGGCATCACTAGCAAGAACTCTGGAATCTAGAGCCATGGATGTATGTTGTGTTTCGGAGACACGCATACAAGACCCGAGTGTGGTCATTCACTTGACCTCACCCGGTCAACAAGGTGAACCTGCGAAATTCCTTTTAAGTGTGTCAGGAGACCCCTCAGCTAGCTCGCGAGGACTCGCAGGTGTAGGGATAGCACTGAGTGTTACGGTGGAAAAATCACTCCTTGACTGGATCCTAGTAGATAGTCGTATGTCCGTCTGAACGGGTCCGTTAAAAGAAGGAAAGACGGCGCTACCCGTCGTTGCCTTTTCGTAGTCTCCCCAACAGACTGCAGTTCGGATGAACTAAAAGATGACTTCTACCGGAAACTGTCTAATTTGATGCAAAAAGCAAAACGTTCAGACATAGTTGTTTTAGCAGGCGACTTCAATGCCCAAGTAGGGAAGTTGTGCCAGACTGAGAAGTATATACGTGGTACGCATGGTTCCCTGCCAACGAACCGACAACGGTGATCGTCTTCTTCAGTTTTGCTCAGGTGATCATCTGTTCCTAGTCAGCACTAACTTCAGGCACAAAGAAAGACATTGTGTAACCTGGCGACCTCCATCACCAAATCAACGCTGGACTCAGATAGACCACATAGCCATAGGGTATCGTTGGCGAGGGGCAGTAGAAGACTGTCGCTCCTTCTGGAACACGTGCGTAGACTCTTATCACGCCTTGGTTCGCGCACGTTTATGCTTACGACTAAATGGACATTAGAAATTGACGGCAGCGAAACAGTTACGTCCCCAACTAGATCGTGACACTGAGTCATTATTTAGGGAAGAAATAGCGAAACGAGTTTCTGAGGTCGACAGCAGGACTTCCCCCGAGGTAGCCTGGCATAACATACAGTTAGCTGTAGACACAGCTGTGAAAGCTGTTAATAAGCTAAAACCTGAAGTTAGTAAAAGCCATTGGATCTCTACCACCTGATCCGAACTGATTGACGCAAGAAGACTGATTCCGGCGAGCTCCGATTATGATGAGGAGCGAAAGGTACTTAAACGAAAACTAAAAAAGTCTTCGCAAGGACCGTGAACAGTGGTGGGCGACAAAAGCGAAAGAGATGGAAAATGCATCGGCGATTGGCAACACCAGACAACTATTCAGGCTTATCAGGGAAACAGGTGCCAAAAGGCAAATGATAAGCAAAACAATCCCGCAGAAAAATGGCACCATAATTAGCTCCCAGGATAGACGACTGGAACGCTGGAAAGAACACTATGAGGAGCAGTTTAATTGGCCCACAGCCACACCTAACCTGCCGAACATCCAACACCTCCCTGAATGGGATATAGACACAGGTCCTCCGTCCTTAACTGAGGTTACTAAAGGTGTCACTAATCTGAAGCAAGGCAAAGCAGCGGGACCTGATGGATTGACTCCAGAGGTATTTAAGTACGGTGGAGACAATTTACTGTCTCCATTAACTGAGGTTCTAGGCAGCGTCTGGGAATCAGAGGAAGTCCCATCGGGTTGGTGTAAGTCACTGATCATCCCGATATACAAGAAGGGAGACAAGTCTTCTTGTGATAATCACAGAGGCATTAGCTTGACTACTATAGTATCTAATGTCCTAGGCTCAATAATATTGCGTAAACTAAGTGGTGCTCGGTAGGCAAACACGAGAAAACCAGGCAGGTTTTAGGCCAGGTAGAGGGTGTATTGTTCATATCTTCACCCTTCGACAGATTCTAGAACATAGGCATTCCTACCGGCGTACGACAACCACTATATTTCTTGACCTAAAGGCGGCATTCGATTCTGTCGACCGAGCGGTTCTCTGGCGATGCTTGGCTGTAAAGGGAATGCCAAGAAAATACATTGCACTGATTAAGGCACTCTAGTCGTACTCATGCAGCCAAGTGAGGGCTGCATGGCGAGTTGTCATCTGAAGTGGTAACGACTAGTGGCGTCCGTCAAGGATGCCCATTATCCCCATTCCTATTCAACTTCATCACAGACGTACTAATGGACTTAACCCTAACACACTTCACCGACTCAGGGATTGACTTGCTACCAGGGAATAATCTCGTCGACTTAGAATATGCGGTCGATAAAGTCCTTCTAGGGGAGGACTCTGACAAAATGCAGAGTCTACTGAACACCTTGAGCTGCAATCTACGAATGTTTGGCATGCGATTCGCTCCCGCCAAATGGAAGATGATGTTACAGGATTGGACTACACCGACTCCTAGATTAGAAATAGGAAGTGAAGTGGTAGAGCACGTTGACCGCTTCCCTTACTTCGGGTTGATCTCTGACAAAATGTCAGCACGGATACAGAGGGCTAGTTTCTCATATGCCAGTTTACGCCGTCTCTGGCGTAGACGTGATATCCGACTGGCTATCGACCAAAGGGCGTGTGTACTACTCATCAGTCCGCTCCGTCCTCCTTTATGGCTATCGAACCTGCCATTGAGAGTGGAAGACATGAAAAGCCTGGCTAGCTGTCTTTGATCGCAGGTGTCTGCGTTCTATCTCCCGTGTGAAGTGGTATAATAAGGTGAGCAATATTGAGGTTAGGCGCTTGTCGAGTGATTGGTAAGGAGGGGAAATCAATCGACGAGGCTGTGAAATTACATCGACTGAGATGGTTAGGACATGTGTTACGTATGCCTAGTCATCGCCTTCCTCGACAACGGGCAATGTTAGCTAATATAGGGTCAGGCTGGAAAAGAGCTAGCGGCGGTCAAACGAAAACATGGCACCAGTCAACGAAATCTACAACAGTAAGTCTAGGCCGTGTAGGAAGATGTAGACTTCCAGACTGGTTGGGTTCCTCGGGATGGCAAAAACCAATGGTTGGAAACAATTGGTGACATGGCTCAAAATCGTTCTCAATGGCTAGCGCAGATGCATCCACTCCTTGTGACTTATGATTTCCAATAAAACTGTTTTGTTCTTCGTTATTACTATTCCTTTGTCTCACACCTCTGTTTACTGTCTCTAATATGCATTTCTCCTACTTTCTTCTCTTGCTTTGTGTGCTACATGAAATGTGGTGACTTGAACTGTGCAAAGTTCTAGGTCGGAAACAGACACAGTTTTCTTCATAAGGAAATAGTAATGAGGCATTACTTTGAATACAAGTCTCACGTCTTAATATTCACACATAATCTTAATCGAAGAAACTACAGTCTTACCGAATTCTACCTATTCTGTAGCGGTGGGGATACTCCTCGCAAAAAGTGAAACGGCGAATGTGAACGTCTAGCACTTAAAACAGGACTGATGGGCAAACATGTCTACGTAGGGGAGCTAGGGAACCCTCATTCCAAACGTACATGGGTTCCAGAATCCAAAAGGGACTTATGAAGCTGTTTTGTTCACCGGAAACCATGGGAACGTAGCTTCACTGCTCTGTGGATTAGACTTCAAGCCAAAGGCTCAAAGGAGTGGCTCCCTAAGATAACTGGGCTTCACAACTATATTCCAGCCCCCTAACAAACTTGAAGATTTTGTGTGGCGCATCTCTTGGTGCCCATAATATATGCCATAATGAATACATTTCGTAGCGGTAAGAGAAAACAAACAATCAAACAAATGTGAGCAGACAAAACCAAGTAGAACAATAACACAAAAACAAAAGACGAGCTAAAGAGAAAAAAAGGAGAATTTTGTAAAGTATAATATAATTCTTATTATATTAATGAAATCAAAGTACAAATATCAATATTATCAATCATATACAAATGTATAAGTAAATTGATTAAAATGCAAATAATTAGGGCTTTTACTTCTTATTCATTCTTTAAAACAAAAGAGAGTTATTAACAGAAGCCAAAAAACCCACATCATCAGCTTGATTTGATTAGTTGCATTCAATTTTTAAGAAATTTATCGGCACTAAACCACCCACTTGATCACGTTCACGCCAAACATCACAGAATCCATCAGGAAGTAACTTTCTTATCTGTACTTCATCATCACACTAAAAAGGAAAAGGAAGATTAGATTGATGATTTTTATTATGAAAACAGCTTAAAATTAAAAATAGTAGTACAAGTCTAATCAATAGCCGATATCAGTTAGAGAACCATTGGGAAACCAGCTGGACAGCTATTTCATCCTAGTTCGGGACTCCTCATCAGCACACATCCACCAGGGTTCGAGCCCAGAACCTTTCGGTCGCAAAGAGAGCTCGTAAATCATCCAGCCACTGAGACCTGATGCAATGACCCATGAATTCCAATTTCTGCCAATTCGCGACCCATAGCGCCACCACCAGTGAATGTCACCGCCAAGTAGCTGTCCTCTTACCTAACTTAGTGGACACCGCCGGTTACGACTTCTCACTAGAACTCCAAGTAACTGGTGAGCAACAAAATAACTGCTTACTTCTTACAAAGAAACAAAATACGAAGGGTAGAAGCAGTACAACACAGAAGATCTGTGAAAATGACCGTTTATATATATATGGTATACATAATTTCCCTATATGTGTATATCAAATTTCAAATAAACAATCCGTTACAAAGCCTCTTATTTTCTCCCGTTAAATATATATATATATATATATATAATCAATATAAAGTACTAACTTCAACTTTCAGATGTCCTGTCGCAAAGATGCTTGGATTTCTTGCTCTAACAACCTTCCCAGTAGCAGGTAGTTGAATTGATTTCAGCATATGACAATATGTTAAGCCAACTTGATCACAGTGTCCCTTTAATCTGGCTACAATTTCAGGTGTGAACTAAAAATATTTAAAAAATGAGATAATTAAATAGAATGGAATACAATGTTGACATCTAAGTTAAGTTATTTCACAAAATCACACCGACGCAATAACACATAATAATGATAATGTTGAACTTGGAGCATCGGTTAGGGAAAATAGATTGTAAAAGACAAATGATTAGCGAGATAATTTCCAACAAAGAAGAGAGCTTTAGCAACCTCCTCTGGATAGATGACTGGAACACGATGGAGGAAACAGTTTCAGGAGCACTTTAAATGTTGTACTCTTGTGCAAAGGTAGGTCAATGTCGAAACTTAGACAGTCTTATTTAATACCACGTATTACGTTTGAGGATTTCAAAACAACTGTAGCAAACAGAAAATACTATAAGTGTTAAATAAGTAATGGTTTAGGCTATCACAAGTTTAAAAAAATAGGCAACAAAACTTATTATAGGCAGAAATCAATGAATTCATCAAATTTTCGTAGAATTCTTCACCCGAATACTCTACATACAGTGGTATGTAAACTATCAGAAGTACATTAAAGCAGTATTTGACTGATACGTAAACTGACTGCAATGCTCAATAATAATATTAATAACAAGTACAGTGTCTATGATCTCAAGCAAATATCTTAGTACATAAACCTGAACAATGAACAGAACATTCCCATATTGATTCACAAGACGTAAACAGTTAAGAAAATTTTCTTTCCCACAATTCAATTCAGCAGTTCTACAACCGTTTTGAACTAGCTGTGTTCTCTGAGCTGCATGGATGGGCATTTGATTGGTGGTTTGTATCTGACACTGGTTGGTAGGATTTGATAACGAAGACACTCTTTCTCCAGTAACCCCAGCATACAATTTATCCAAAGAACAATACAGAAAAATGAAACACTTAACGGAATCCTGCGACCACTGCATCAAATCTGCAACCCAATTTCTAGAGAAAGTCAAAGGCATTCAAACAGATGACCAAGAAATAATGGTAGCCTTTGATGTCGAAAAATTATATACTTCAATTGGACAGAAACTAGCGAAAGAAACCATGGAGCAACTGATCAACAACGATGATCACCTTTCACAACACTCAATAATGCAACGCACAAGTTTGGTGGAATGCATAAACCTATGGTCAGCCTGTGACGTGGCACTGTGGCATAAAGGATTAGCATATTTAGCATATTTTTAATTCAACGGCCAAATATATGAACAGATTAAAGAGACACCTATGGGATCGCCCATATCAAGTCTGATTGCAAAAGCTGTGATATTGAAGATTAAACCCCAAATTTGGATACGTTAAATGAATGACACATTCGTGATAATCAAAAGAAATGACTTAGACAAAACTCACAACTTAATAAACAACATCTTCAACGATATCAAATTTACAAGAGAAGAATCCGACGTCAGATTCCGTTTTGGACGCCTTAGTCAAGCGACACAACCACAGAAAAATAAGAAACTCAAGCTTACAGAAAATCAACCCATACATATCAAATACTCAATTAGAACACCAACAACCCAATAACACAAAAAAGGAGTTGCATACAAACATTATTCAAGAGAGCCAAGATTCATTATAGCACTCCTACCTTAAGGAAAATTGAAGAAAAAAATATCTCATGGACGTCTTTTGAAAGAATGGATATCCACGACACTTCATCAAAAGATATCTACCTCCAAGCCAACTAACCAAATCAAAGGCCCCTAAGGAAAATCATCTCACCATATATGAAAGACGTCTCAGAAATCACTGCAAGACTCTTCATATATCTAGGAATTGATGAGGCACATAAATCAACGAAATCACTTCACTCAGCTCTGTGCCAACCAAAAGACTCAACAGCGAAAGAAGATAAAACCAACATCACCTACAAGATAAACTGCAACAACTTCAAAAAACAGTACATTGGCCAAAGTGGCCGCCCTCTTCATCTTCGCATCCATGAACACAAACTAGCCATCAAAAGACATGATATCCACTCCCTCATATCGCTGCATACAGACAACCACGGACATCAATTCGACTGGAACAACGTTCAAGTACTAGGTAGGGGAAACAGCAAGAATGACAGAGAATTTTAAAAAGCCTGATATTTCACTGAATCGGCAATTAACACGCAAGTTGACATTAGTAAAATATACTAATACATAAGAGGGAAATCTCATGTACAAAAAGTCAAACTTCAGGTCAAGGAAACAATCAATACAAGTAGAATAGACAAAAGCAACCAATGCCGTTCAGGGTCACCAGGAGGGATGACCAATAAACTCGTGGAGAAATTTAAAAGCTAACTTCAAATTGAAGTATGCGCTGAATATGTTGCCTAATAAGGCAAAGAAAGCTTCGCAAGTAAACCATCCAGCTTAGAGAATACAACTACATCAAAATTATCCACCTGAGCTGCAAAATCTCCATTGTACAATCATATTTATATTTAAGGAAGAATTTGTAAAACAAATCAGATACTGATAGCTACCTTCTATAAAATGTATCACGCAACAAGGATGTAATTCAAGAAAGGCCGAACATATAAGTCAGGATAAATCGCGTCATTATATTACGTCGGTTCATGTCAGCTGCATACAACTATAAGAAGTTTAACATCGAACAAAACAATTTCGAATACTTTAGTGAAACATTATAAGGGTGAACAAAGGATACTACTATCATATAAGTGGAAAACAGTACAGTGGAAGGGAACAGAAGTCACCATTAATCTCGTTGATGAGAACAGAAATGAATAAGGCATAACTCCATAATTCACTGTCACTCGGTTTCATATAGAGGAATGTTTTAGAACTACGGACAATAGTTGAAAATCGAATAGAGGTGCAAAATCAATGATACACTAACGTAATAGGTCAAATGATTTAGTTGAATAGACACCACGAAGGCGTCTGGTCAAGAATACAGATGAAGACATAAATTTAGGGTAAGAAAGCACACTGTCAAAACAAAATATAATTAAAAGAAAATTATTAAAAATGACAATTAAATAACTTAAAGTTTATTTACCAAAGAAAGGCGAGATTAGCAATCCTTGCCTTTTAGATGCATAAATTCAATTTTAGGAGTTTAGTGTCAAAAGATTCAGCAACACGCAGCAACCTGGAGTTGTCTCTAATTTTAATTCTCTTAAAGGATTTAAATGCATTGATTTCGTTACGGCTGCGTAACAAGCGGCGACCATTAGCAACACTAATAACTTTAGCATCTTTTAGATACAAGTTTCTCGGAATACACTCAGATACACGGCCACAAATCCTTCTTTCTGTTCGTCTGATGTATTTGCTTTGCCACGTACATGTAAATTGGTATATGCAGTTGTAAGTAACATGAAAAAGCGAATTGCCAGCCCTAGATCGCCTGAGTAAACAATTAGTTCGGTAAATTGTAGGTAACTTAAGTAGCAGCTAGATAAGTTCACTTGAGAGCAGCATTTATTCTGTATTCAATTCCTTCAGATTTGTCTCTCTCACCTTTCAATCAAAGATTAAGTAAGACTGGTTACTTCTTAACTGTATGTATTAAATGTTGCTTATATATATCGCACCCACATTTACGCTTAGTGGCCCTAATTCAACATCAAAATCATCTGTCAGAATGATTACATCTCATCGTTTCGCTTTTAGCAGCATACTGAAACTTTTCTTGTTTAAGACCCAAGTAGTCCGTGAGTAGGCGGAGACAGAGAGAAGTAACCAATGAGTATGACGAATTCACCTTACTCTCATGAAGTCAGTTTATCGAAAAGCACACATTTGACTGCAATTAAACTGAGTAGTGAGTTTTGTCGATTTGAGCCTAATGTTATCTCTACACCAGCAACTCAAGAACGGGCCAAAGAATATACCGACACTCATATGGTAATTTTGAGGAATTACCAAGTTAACCGGGTAAGGTTAAGTAATAACTAGTTAGATTCCGCATGAATTGCAAGAGAAAACGCTAGTTCAAAGCTCAGGATGTAAGAGTTTCAGTTAGTGAGGCCTGTTGTTCGACTTGGAACATGGAGTTAGAAGTGATTTTGAGACGGTGGTAGTGTGCACACATGCAGCGTTTTAATATGTAACAAGCCGCAGAACAGTACATAGAAAGCAAAACAATTATATGAACGACAAAACCTGGAATCTCAACTTAGACGTTTCCATTTTTCGAAACATTCGGAACAATTTTTGATCTAATTCCCTGAAAGTCTCAATCCTCACTTGAAATAGCACAACGAAATATACTAGACGAATGATTGATACTAATAATCAAGTGAAAGGATGACACTTTTTAGTGCAATCAACCCTAAAATTCAGTTAAAGCCTCTTATATCTGACATTATCAACCGGGGTAAACATAGATCAGGTATAAATAAAACATGCTCCACCTCATGACACTATATCAAATGTCTGTATCCACATGTGGGACTCTCCAAAAATAGGTAACGCCAGGAAAAGTTACATAAGAAACCCATCTTTTACCTCTAACAGTCATGTTCCAAATCAAAGTGCCATGACAACATCCGTTTCTATTGTATTCAGAAATAAACAAACGAGCCTCCAGAGTGAAAGCAGGTAGACATATCACTCCTCTACTCCTTACTAAATTGTTTTTTATTCCAATGGATACTAAATTTGACATACGAACAGATCAAATACATTTATATCTTAACAGTGCATAAGAGAGCTAGCTTGCTAATGGTGTCTTTGTGTATAACCCTTGTAAATTTGTGCAGTTTGTTCCTAGTCTTTTATCATCTTTATTAAGTAATTTTAAACTCACAATATTTCTAAGAACCACACATGCCTCGTAACTTACAGGAGTGAGATAATTTGAAGGCACCCAACCAACTTGGTTATCACTTGACTTGCAGAGTATCCAGTCACGTTTCTGTCTTATGAAGGTTAACAAGTCTCCCCTCTGAAACGAAAGGTCACTCTCTTCCTGAGAAATAGGAGAAAGCAGATACACCTAACCTGTGCTTGGAATGAATACAATGCTGCGTAAGTCGCCTTCTGTGCTGGTTGTCTCATTCGTGTACTTGAAGAGTGTGATGTATGAAGTCTTACAAGCTCCTCCAAAGAAGAATACAGGGTATCACCAAACTTGAACTTTTTTAGCTGCGGAGCCCATGTTAAGAGATAGCGCTTAACTTCGTTGGCTTCTCTATCAGTGTGAAAAAGGGAAAGATAAACCTACTTTATTGCCAGGACATAACCAGATTTAGTAGTGCTGTCACGTATTAAAAACGTTCCAACTGGTTGGTCGATAAGAATCTCATTAGCCTTTTCTCTACTAATTTCTCCGAAATACCACCTAATGCATCATGATGAAACATATAAACATACGGAGCATCTGGAACAAGCTCAGATGTCATGAAACCAAGGTCAACCCTCAGACTTGAAATTGCCACTAAAACTACTAATATCCAACTTTTCCTAAAGCTTATATAAACCTCATGATTTCTTAACCCTCACTTTTTGAATATTGGAAACCGTTCTGTATCTTTGGTAGATTCTAGTACGGTCTATCACTTGACTGCTGCAGATTTGCAGGATATCCAATATCCAGTATCGTATTTACGAGATGGTGCAAACCAATGTTTGTTGCTACTGTGAATGGAGTTGATCCTTTCTTCAGTTAGTCCTCCGGTGTCATCGTCAAAAGAAAAGAGATTTAATATGAGGAGTTACATTAGTTTATTTCAAAAATAATATAGGGTCTGTATTATGGTGATAGCTCCGCTGGTATTTGAAAATTTCATTTCACTGAACAATCCTGTGGTCAGGTAGACATATGATCTGGGGGAAGTTGATGACAGACTGTTTGAGTTAAAGTCTCGAAGATGATTGGTCTAAACAAGTGAAAGTTAGTGCAGGAGGGTTTGGTGGAAGATAAACATGATAGCTGGAGTATATGCATACATGGCAGGAATAAAAGAATAGCATAGAAAAGCACTAGTAAGGATAGAGGAGAACTATAGCGAAATAGAGAAGTATATGTAGGTAAGGTAAGAAAGACGTTTCTACAACCCCATAGGACTCCCTCCATAGATACACACAAACCCATTGTTTTCGCCTGAAGCTATCAACTGATAGAGAGGTTGCTACGTCAGTAGGCAGTAAATCTCATAGATGGCAAATTCTAAGGGAAAATAAGTTAGTTCTCACCTTTGTTGCCGCCCTTTTATGAGCGATTCCGTTGGACTAAACCCATGGGGCACAATAGTACTCTTGTGTTAATGTGTCTCGGATCAACTGCATTAGGACTATGCACTATTGTGTATGCCTTTGGTTCTGTGGCAGCTGGGAATATATAGGTCCAGTTGTCGCAGTCGGTCATCATATGTGCGATTTTCTAGTCCAGTGACTCTTGGTAGCTCTACGTCATACTTCTATGAGATTTGCACCTCATTTTAGAAGTGACATTGTGATCTAAATTTGGCTGCATGTATTTCTTGCATAATTGTCTGGGTATAATTAGTCTCAACTGCCTACTCACAGGACGGATTGCTTCGGTAGCATCCACTTCGTCTACTAACTAGTTAGCCTTGTGTCTCATCTATTTACCAGAGGGAGGCCTTGGTGGGACTATCTCAATATAGGAGATGTCGATCTCAGGTTGGCTGTGTGTAAGCCTTGTTTTTCTGATGTACGAATGAAATTTCCCCGACATTTGGTAACGCTGGAGACTAATGCATTTTTCGTGGTTCATTTTTCAGGTAAGCTGGTTATTCCCTCAGCCTTATGGAATCTGCCATATTTCTCTCAGCTCTCCACAGCTTAACACCATTTGTGTATTGAAGGGATGGAGAGCTTAGGTTGTTGCGGACGTCATTTATAAAGATCGAGAATAGCACTTGATCTAGGATGTCCAAGTTTTTGACCTTCTGCATGCGGAAGAAAGTGGAGTCACCTACGTACAAAATTCTCGGACCCCCAGATAGTCTGATTCAGACTCCCATAGGACTGCTAGATCTCACTTTCGGACTTCTCTTACTAGTATCCGGTGAAACGCCAAGTTGAATGCATTAGCTAGGTTTAGTTAGGCAAATGGACTGCGATATTCTGGTTTCTGGAGGCTGTCTAAATATTCACACCTGAGAGAAACATTTAGTAAATCAAAACCACTTCTCGTTGAATCCATGTTAAGCTTGTCCTAGCTCAAATTTTCTATGACTTCTTTGCCTAGCAGGCTTTGTGAGATGCCTACCATATAACTCATGATTTATCTGGTTGCAATATTATGATCAGTTAATAGCTGACATTTGCGGTAGCAATAATTATTGTTGCGCCCATCTGGTTGAATTCAGGGTAAATATTGGAGGTGAGTATTTCCACTCGGGTAACATGTTCCCTCTATGCAGTCAGCACTTTGTCTGATCCAAGTGTGCTGTCTACAGGACATGCTTACCAGCCAGTATAGGCCTTCATTACAGGCAGAACGTTGAATACAGTGATAAATTATTTTGACTAGACACACTTATCTCTCTTAAGTATTGAAGAGGTTTCATGCTAAGTGACAGGCTATCTGTGTACTGCTTTCACTAATCATTCCAGGGAAATCCCGGTAGTGTAGCAGCACTTAAATTGCTCATAAGGACACCAGTTTATGCTAAGGGCATCGGATAGTCCGCAGGTTTAATGATGTCTGCGAGTTTCGCGACTGGCAGTCGGTAGCCAACGTTCCGGAGATTTTTATCTTCTTCTGACGGAGTTTTCCCTTCCTAAGTTCGCATGTTCACAGTCCCTCCGGAAATTCCGTTTTCTGTCGGCAGCTCAGTCAGTACAATGGGGTTTATGTGGCATGTCAGACAAATACATCAGGAGTGGCTTTATTGCATATCCCAACTAAGTGAAGCGTCATAATCCGTTGCGGTGGTGTTTTAATGACAATTTATGTATTTTGTATGCAGTAAAATTTTCCCTGGTGTACACATTTCCGGTGGCATTATATTCTTGAACTGTGATACATATGCTGCATTTTTATCAGAAATTGTCCCTTTGTACTGACGTCTGCGTTGTACAGTGGATTAAGTGGAGGAGATGAGTTCAAGAGTTGAAAGTATATTATTGAATTTTCAGGAAATCACGCCGGTATATTTGACCTTATTTAATTAAATGCCCTAAAGCCCACCCGATAAAGGTGGTGCCAATTTATAAAAGGGCTGTGCCATGTAACCACCCATATATAAGAACTGGAGACAAGAAGTATATGAGATATTCAGTATACATATGTGGGACGGGATCATGGAGACTGTAGCGCACCTATTATTCCAGGAGTTGCACTCAAAAGCTGAGTCCATTTTGAAGACAACAAGCTCAGAAATGATGCGCACGTCACCAGGTAGCGTTGTCCTTTTTATTCTTCTCGAGCTTAATATGTGCAGCCTGGAACAATATAACTGCACGTTTTTATAGGTGTTAAAAATAAAGACGTATATAACTGTTGTTTATAAACGATCCATGGCAAAATATACATAACTTTCAAGTAAAATCTAAAATACAGTGTGCTTTTCGAAGCTTCATGTTTCACCGGTTCATACTGTCTGCTTGCTTCACTATTGACCGAGTTGTATCCTTTGGATTTCGCAGGAACCTTTCATCCTCACCCGAAGACCATTCTACAACCAATGTAAAGCCTCTACTAGTAGACGCGACTCTAGCGGGGAACACTATTGTGGATTATATTTATAGTTTTTAGCAGAGGACGTTAACTATATAACCAAGTAACCACCACATTATATAACTCGTTAAATGTATTTTTCACAATATGCTGTAACACTATCATTTATTTAACTTGGATTTTTATTCTAATATTTCTTCCGTTACCCAGCTCGCTATTGAGTCGCCCACGAATGTGGCTGCTACTGTGTACTTACATATAGGATGAGGTGTTATTACTGTGTTTAAGTGGTGTGGACTGTTGGCTTGTTCCGAACGAAGCAAAAGATAGTGCAGGGGTGGAAGCACATATTTCGTAGCGGGTATTTCAGGTGGCACCGTTTTCCACAGTTCAGCTAAAACGCCTTTTTAGTCTCCCACTTGCCTGCTCTAGTCCAAATGGAACAGTTCACGGTTATACAGTTTAGATTTAAGGAGTACTTGAGACATCTTTTCGCGACTAAATTTTGACATATTGTCGTCTATGCATGTACATATTAGCTATACAGGCATGAACGAGCTGCTATTCAAATCACACACATTAGGTTTATGGTAAAGTTACACCGACGCTATTCCTCTGGACTTTATAATCGATTGGAACTAAGTCATTATTGAGTGTGATAAATTAGGAAATATGAAAGAATTGTCTTCGTATTAACAATAAAATTCATACTGGTGGTGGACAGATTACAAATATCAGGGAAAAAGCTTGGGGTCAATCCTCCAGCAAATGTTTTCTGTGTAAGACGTTGTAGCCTATCCTTGGATTTAAAACCAGTCACCTTTAGTAGCTATGAGACTCAACTTATTAATAATAATATATTCTCAGCTTTTGTACATGGGGAACGCCAGTTTACACGTGTCATCGGTATGATAAATTACATGTACGAGGAGTAGGCATATTTAAAATTATTCACTCACACAAGATATACATCGGAAAGAGTAATGGAATAATACCTATAAGGTCACTTTAACCAGGCTGAATTGATGTGCACAGTATAATACAGAGCATCGCCATTGAAGAAATTTAACCGAAATGTGAGTCATATTTGATGGTTGCGTTACTGGTGATAGATATATTAGGTTATTAATAAAGTGATAAAATTGTTTTGTAAAACTTTAGTTAGTTCACCGACACTTATGTTTTCAGCAGTATAAACTGCCAGTGACTGACCACAGCAGTAATTGTCCGCTTAAACGTTCAAAGAAGTATTGTCGCTGAAATAGTTAAGTTTAAGTTCATACGCTGCTAGGAACTAGAATAATGGCCATCCAATCCGTTTTAAATAGAAGTTAGAGAATGTGGGAACTGGAAATTATCATCGTGCAAGTCAGAGAGATTATAAATGCAACTAACAGGATATTTTCACCATATTTCAAATAGCCAGTTTTATTGGCACTGCACGGGTAGTTATAGGGTTTTTTATATGTAAAAAGGCAATATTCCACAGCTGTCAACCAGGATGAGTCAAGGGGAAAAGCAGTGGGTAATTCGCCGAGCAGTTATAGGATTTGGGACTAGTGATGTTTGCAGATCTTTTGTTATTGTAAGTTGCCAAATATCTGCATTCTTTATCTTCATTCAGAAGGTCATATGGATGCTTAAGTGGTGAGAGGAAGTGGGAGACAGACAAGAGCGGCACAGAAGAAAGCAAATGGTGTCCTCAAGAAGTGATTTAGGAAAGTGTGGACACTATGATTATGTTGGTATACTTGTGGTGAGAGCTGTCTACTAGCCAAATTGGTAGACAGTAATTTACGT